CTCCGGACATTGTTTCTGTATCGATGACACAGGGATGTATCCAGCCTGAGGAGAGCCGTGTGACGTCTCCCCGCTACACTCATTCACGAACCTCCAATTCATATTCGTTACATAAAGTGTATCTGCAATTGCCGCCTCTCCCCGCCGCCTGTGGTGGCGTTCGGTTTCTTTTGTGTCACATTAGCCCCCATCTTTCGCCATTTTGGCTGCGGTGCTTTCTACCTATAGCCGTACTCCCACTGCTGTTTCCCGCTAGAATACCCCATTCCCCCCCCCCCCACCGGAAAATTTAAAAAAATGAGAGAATTGTGCGTCCGTCAGTGTAGATGGAGCGCACACGGTCAGACATGAGCAGACGGCGGGGAGGAGGGGGGAAGAAAACCCTCCCTTACTACCTCACCCGCCTACACGGGATAAACAACCTGCTACAAAGAGGCCTGAGCTCCCCCAGTGCTAATGACAAGAGCGGGGACGCAGAGCAGAGGCGCAGCACGGACACCTAATTAGCAGGGGCCATGTAAACACGTGCGGTACTCTATAGACAGACAGCACGGGGCCTGCGGGCTCCTAAAGAGTGCCCGCTGTACTGCCTGTGTACCGCATACACTCACTGACAGGGCTGGCACCGCCAACAGACAACCCCCCCAAAGAAGTCACAAAGCCGCCTGTCAGGGACCAGTCTGCCACCATCCTCTGACAGGCGGCTACTGAGCTCCTGCAGCCCCTATAGTCCGTCCGCCTCACTCCTCCTCCTCATACCCCCAACACAGCCCTAATTACTTCCAGCAGGGGCACTATAGGAGGACGCATGAGCCCGCACAGCCGAGCGGCGGCTTCATGAATATCGTGCAGCCAGCAGGCCCGGGCATCTTCCACTTACCTCCGACCCTGTACATGTTTGCAGCCATGTCTTCCAGGTAGGGAGGAGGAAGGGGGGGATTCCGCCAGCACTCCTCCTCCCCTCGGTGACTTCTCCAAATGCGGCGCCCCTTCTTTGTTCCCGCAGACTTCTCCCGACCCCCGGATCCCCTCGGTGCTTCAGGTGGGATTCCAGTCTCCTTTTTGGAAAATGGTGGCCGCTTCAGCCGAGGAGGAGGGGAAAAGGATGCATTTAAAGGGGCAGTGCCTTCCCTCCTGGTGGCAATGTGCTTGAAGGAAAAAAAAAAAAGCGAAGAAACGGCAGCAGTCTTCAGCGAAGGGGGGAGGAAGCCGTCATTCGGTCCAATTCTAGGATTCCTCCTCCCCTCCACACTTCATACACCCACAGCGATTGTCCTACTGACAACTATGAGCCTCATCCCCTTTATACACTCTCATCCCCTCAGTTTTCCCCCAAAAAAGTTGGGTTTTTTTTTTCCTCTTGAAAGTGTATATTAAACCTAATAATTATCAGTCGTTCGATGTGGTGGGCTGCATTAGTTTTCTTTTTTTATTAGGCTTCTTTCACGTGATCTGGCCAGTAAGGTCTTGAATGTATTGAGATCGTGGACAGAATTGCGCAGAAATGCCTGCGGTTCCGGAACACGTTAACATGCACATTTGGGTGACATTCGTTGTTAACCACTTCAATAACAGACACTTTCACCTTCCTGCCCAGGCCAATTTTCACATTTTAGCCCTGGTGCACTTTGAATGACAATTGAACAGTCACGCAACACTATATGAATTTTTTTTTTCCGTTTGGTGGTAGTTAACCACTTGCCCTCCAGAGGATTCATCCCCTTCTTGACCAGGCCATTTTTTGTGATACAGCGCTCCGTTACTTTAACTGACAATTGCGTGGTCATGCAACACTGCACCCAAATTTGTTTTCCTGAAATAGAGCTTTCTTTCGGTGGTATTTGATCACCGTTGCATTTAATTTTTTTGTGTGCTATAAACAAAAAAAACTGACAGTTTTGAAAAAAAAATACATATTTTTGACTTTTTGCTACAGAACATGCAGCAAAAAAATTAAATAACATTTCTTCATAAATTTAGGCCAAATGCTCCATGTCTTTGCTAAACAAAAATCCCAATACATGTAAATGAATTGCTTTATGTGAAAGTTATAGCGTCTACAAATGGTGGTATACATACTGGAATTTATTTATTTTTTTTCAGTTACTAGTAATGGCGGCGATCAGCGACTTATTGTGGGACTGCGGCGGGCAACCTGACACTGGGGGGGGGAACTGACATCCCCAGTGACACCAATACAGTGATCAGTGCTTATAAAAAGCACTGATCACTGTACTAATGGCACTGGGCAGGAAGGGGTTAACATGAGCGGACCATAGGGTTAACTGTGCGTGTTTCACTATGTAGACAAGCTGTTTTGTTTTGCTTTGCTCTGCTGTGCACCCACTACCTGGAAGGGCAAAATCACGAATATACACACGATTTTACACTTCCATGCCGTCCTGTAGCAGTACTTCTGCTATAGGGCGGTCGGAAAGCGATTAATCACCACTGGGGTTTTTTTGCTAAACAAATGAAAAAAGACAGAAAAAAAACACACATTCTTAGTTTATTTTGCAAATAAGTAATTTTTCTTCTGCACTGATGTGCACGATGGATGAGGCTACACTGATGGGTACTGTAAATGCGTGCTGTCAGGATCAACGGTTATTGGCTTTCCTTTCCTCACACATTAACAGCACTGAGGAAAGGAAAAACTAATAACCGAAACGTCTGTTTACATGTGATTGGACACAGCTGATCACATGGTAAAGGGCCGCTGTGATTGGCCCTTTACCTCGATCTGTGTTCAAAGGACATAACGATCACAAGGGGGCCTAGTTCTGGGAGGACGTCTATAGCTGCCCTCCCAGAACTAGATGACTATGCTGTAGCCATCTTTTGGCTATAGTACGGTTGGGAATTGGTTGATGGCACCCCAAAAGTGCTAAAGAAAAAAAAAAAAGCAAAAACACACCAAACAATATGAGGGGAGTTCCTGCACTAAGGTAAAATGCCTATGAACGTCTGGCACTAGATTTGTGATACCAAAGCAAACCATAGTATAAAAAAAAGTGTGCAGCACTAACTGCAAAGACTGAAATGCGCCGAATAAAAATATCCAAACATTGATCACCTGAAATTCATGTAACTATACATACATCAATCAACATAAATCACTTCTATGGGATCAAAAAAAAAAAAATAAAAGTGATCAGTGAATATCAACATACAGTATATCACCAACTCACATGTCCATAAAAAAAAAAACATTCCAAAATAGTGCTGAAAAATGTCCACTCCTTGTAATAATAGAAAGACACCCAACAATCTAATCCTCACTGTCATTTTTAGTCACAAGAGACACCTGGCTACTGGAGATCATCTCAGTGCACACATAGGACTTACCAGATTCATATGACCACTGTATATTAAATGGTCAAACAAGTGGTTCCGATCTCAGCCACACTGGCACACACAAAGGATCATAAACTCCCATGGGGTTGTGACATACAAAAGGAAGGAACAACTTGTATAGGGTAATATAATTAAACCTCCAATTTATGAAGAAACAAAGTGTGTACTCACATAGGGTAATGGCAAAGTAAAGCAGTACCAGGTTACGTGCATCCAGTCAATGCATCTCATCTCATCTGGCTTCCAACAGAAGTATGCATGAGGATGTGACGTCTGTAAGCCCTGCCCAATGCATTTTGTTGTAATAGACATCTTCAGGGGGGAGTGGCACAATTTTGGAATGTTTTTATAGGTATTTTATGGAAACATGAGTTGGTGATACAGTATGTACAGTGGGTATAGAAAAGAATGACAGCCCCCCCCCAAAAAAAAGTCACATCTCGTTGCTTTGCAGCCTGAAATGAAGACAGTTTTTATCCAGCTGTATTTATAAGTGCAACTTATAACATTCAAGTGGAACGTATAACACCAACGTGTCAAAAAAACTGATAAAAAACAGAATCACCCCCTTGTGAGAGTTGGACAAAAGATCACCCCCTTGTGTCATAATGTTGAACTACCTTTTGCTTTAATTCCACCCTTTAGTCTGTTGGGATATATCTACAGTAACTTTGTACATCTGGAATTTGCAATATTTGCCCACTCATCTTTGCAGAACTGCTCAAGTTTAGGTAAATTTGATGGTGACCGTTTGTGGACTGCAGTATTCACATCATTCCACAGACTTTTAATGGGGTTTAAATCTGGGCTCTAACTAGGCCATACAAGAACATTCACATTTTTTCTCCTTCAACTACTGTGTGGTCATTTTTGCTCTGTGCTTTGGGTCATTGTCATGTTGGAAGGTAAACCTTCTTCCCACTGACAACTTTCTGGCAGAGGGCATCAAATTTTCCTCAACAGTTTGACGTAATTTTGCCCCATTCATTTTTCCTTCTATTCTGACAAGTGCTCCAGTCCCTGCTGCAGAGAAACATCCCCATAGCCAGATATTACCACTAGAGATGAACGAATTATTCAAAAATTCGGTTCGGCTGATAAGCCGAATTCGCCGAATAAATTTGCTTCGAGAGCCGAATATATTCGCTGCGAATTTAACTTATAAAAAGGGTGTTTCTAGGCTTCAGAGAGCCTTTATATTAGTGCAGAACACTGTACCTTTAATTTAAATGCCCTTGGAGTCTGCTGGGGAAGAGAAATAATACTGTCAGTCAGTATGACATGCAGATGAGTGCCGTCGATCTTAGAATCACCGCACACTTCACTCATTTGGGCAGTCACGGGGCCAAAACCAGAGTGTGGAGCCACAGTGTGGCGGTGGAGGCAGCAGCAATGGGAGGCCATACAGCACCCTATGACAAAATGGAACCCACCAGCAGTGTGAGGAGACCTGAAAGTGGCACATGGCAGAGTGTGGCGATGGAGACAGCAGCAATGGGAGGCCGTACAGGGACCCATGACACACTCTGGACCTGGCAGCAGCATGAGGAAGCGGTACAGGGGCCCATGACAGATTACGGCCTGGCAGCAGCATGAGGAGTCGGTACGGGGGCCCATGGCAGATTACGGGCCTGGCAGCAGCATGAGGAGGCGGTACAGGGGCCCATGGCAGAGTGACGGAGCGTAAGCAGCTAAAATTGAAGGCCATACAGAGGCCTATGTTAAAAAGTCCCCCCAGCAGCAGCGTGGGGAGACGACTATCAAGAGTCCAATGGCAGAGTGGCGGAGCAGAAGCAGCTTCAATTGAAGGCCATACACAGGGCTAGGTTTAAAAGTCCCTCCCGGTATAATTCCAATAACGAACTCTACTCCTCCATGCAATCTACTTACGAGACCCTGGGCAGGTCTGGGTCCAATTTGTGGTAGAGACTGGTTTTGTTCAGCCATGCTTGAGCGAGTAATAACAGGTCTGTGCTGCCCTTTGGTGTCTGGCTTAATGCGCACAACACTGAACGTCCCAGCATTTGGCAACGATTTGCCGTTAAGTGATGCAAACCCGCTGAACCACGTTCATGAGGAGCCGGTACAGGGGGCCATGAATCAGTATGGACCTGGCAGCAGCTCGTGAGCAGACGACAGAGGCACATGGCGCAGGGTGGCGGTGTAGGCAGCATTATTCTGAAGCCATACACAGGCCTAGGTTAAAAAGCGGAAGCCGTCAGCAGCGTGAGCAGACGACAGAGACACATGGCGCAGGGTGGCTGTCAGGGCTCCCAGGTATGACCAGAGATGTGTGACTGACGCAGGGAAACGCAGACTTCAGATATGGGATAAACAATATAATTTATTAACACTAACAATACAAACATAAACGCAGTGCAATACTAAACATAATACAGTGCAAACAAACCAAACCAACCACCCACAGATAACAGTACATACAAGCAAGCGTCGTCAGGCAGGCCGGGTCAATATCAATTGGGCAGGTAGGTACAGGGGGAGCAAGCGGAGAATGGTCGGGGTCACAGGCCAGGTTCAGCAGGTAGCAAGCAGCGTAGTACAGAGGGTCAAGCAGAGGGATGGTCAGGGTCACAAGCCAGGGATCAGAACAGGTAGCAAGCAGCGTAGTACAGAGGGTCAGCAAAGGAACAGAAACAGGATGCAGGACAGATACAGGGCCCAGGACAAACACACACCAAGGCAGAGTCTGTGGGTCTGGCCATCCCTTAAATACCCCAGCATAATCAGTTCCAGGTGTTAGCTGGCTGCAAAGTTGAGTCTCTGATTGCTGGGAGCACCCGCTGGCCAGCCCTGGTACTGCAGATCAAAAGGCAGGTGAGTCCCACCATTGCTGGCCAGTCCATTCCTGACAGTGGCGGTGGATGCAGCAGTATTCGGAAGCCAAACATAGGCCTCGGTTAAAAAGCGGAAGCCGTCAGCAGCGTGAGCAGACGACAGAGGCACATGGCGCAGGGTGGCGGTGGAGGCAGCAGCAATGGAAGGCCCATACAGCACCCTATCACAAAATGGAACCCACCAACAGTGTAAGGAGACCTGAAAGTGGCACATGGCAGAGTCTGGCGATGAAGTCAGCAGCAATGGGAGGCCGTACAGGGACCCATGACACACTCTGGACCTGGCAGCAGCAAGAGGAGGCGGTACAAGGGCCCATGGCAGAGTGGCGAAGCGTAAGCAGCTTAAATTGAAGGCCATACAGAGGCCTATGTTAAAAAGTCCCCCCAGCAGCAGTGTGGGGAGACGACTATCAAGAGTCCAATGGCAGAGTGGCGGAGCAGAAGCAGCTTCAATTGAAGGCCATACACAGGCCTAGGTTAAAAAGTCCCCCCAGCAGCAGCGTGGGGAGACGACTATCAAGAGTCCAATGGCAGAGTGGCGGAGCAGAAGCAGCTTCAATTGAAGGCCATACACAGGCCTAGGTTAAAAAGTCCCCCCAGCAGCAGTGTGGGGAGACGACTATCAAGAGTCCAATGGCTGAGTGGCAATCCGGGAAGTCAGCGTTGTGATTGCAGATGCAATGCAGAAATTTTATGAGGTAATGCCGTGGGTGCGAAGAAGATCATATACCGTCGTACTTCCATCCATAAGACGGAACAACCTGCGAACCGGGAGCTTTATTGCCCTGACCCGCTGAGCAGCTTCTGGGATACCCAAGAGTTTGGCTTCTGTGGGGAATATGGTTGAAAACTGAAACTTAAAGGCATGTTGACGGAAGGGCACCAGTGTCAGTGCTCCGGAGGGAATATAGCTTCAAAGCTGACACTTAAAGGTATATCGACGGTCAGAGACCACAGGAAGTGGAGCTTGCTTCTTAAATCGACTGAATGTGGCAGACGTGAAACGTCTACGGGCCGTATATGAAACGGGTTGTTCCTCTTTCTGGAATAAGTGTTGGAAATGGCCACTCTTTTTGGTGTGGCGTTTTGTCTATTTAATTCCGATAACGGACTCTACTCCTCCGTGCAATCTAGTTACGAGACCCTGGGCAGGTCTGGGTCCAATTTGTGGTAGAGACTGGTTTTGTTCAGCCATGCTTGAGCGAGTAATAACAGGTCTGTGCTGCCCTTTGGTGTCTGGCTTAATGCGCACAACACTGAACGTCCCAGCATTTGGCAACGATTTGCCGTTAAGTGATGCAAACCCGCTGAACCACGTTCATGAGGAGCCGGTACAGGGAGCCATGAATCAGTATGGACCTGGCAGCAGTGTGAGGAGACCCGAAAGTGGCACATGGCGCAGGGTGGCGGTGGAGGCAGCAGTATTCGGAAGACATACACAGGACTAGTTTAAAAAGCGGAAGCCGTCAGCAGCGTGAGCAGACGACAGAGGCACATGGCGCAGGGTGGCGGTGGAGGCAGCAGTATTCGGAAGCCATACACAGGCCTAGGTTAAAAAGCGGAAGCCGTCAGCAGCGTGAGCAGACGACAGAGGCACATGGCGCAGGGTGGCGGTGGAGGCAGCAGTATTCGGAAGCCATACACAGGCCTAGGTTAAAAACTGGAACCCAGCAGCGTGAGCAGACGACAAAGACGCACTGGATGCCAGAAAGTGGCTGATAGGGCTATATACTGCATGGAATTATAAAGTTGTAAAGACAGCGGCCTATAAGGCTATACACACTATAACAATCATGACTTGATTGACCATTGGCCTATAAGGCTATACACAGCATGAATATCATGACTTATTCTGAGAGTGGTTTGGAAGGCTATAACAAAAAGTAATTCATGAGCTGTCCGGACAGCGGACAATAAGTACATATATACAAATCAATTCATCAGCTGTCCAGCCAGCGGCCTCAAAGGCGACACATATAGAAAAGCAATGCATGAGCTGTTCAGACAGCGGCCTCTAAGGCGACAGATATACAAAGCAATTCCCGATGGTGTTCAGGGAGCGGCCTGAACGGCTAGGTTATTACTAAATATATTTTTGTGGCCAAACATCGGCCTATAAATAGATGTCTACACAGTGACAAAAAAATTATGTCGCCAGGACAGCGGCCCCTAAGGCGACAGATATACAAAGCAATTCCCGAGGTGTTCAGTGAGTGAGCGGCTTGAACGGCTAAGTTATATTACTAAATATATCTTTCTGGCCAAACATCGGCCTATAAATAGATGTCTACACAGTGACAAAAAAGTAGGTCGCCTTACAGCGGCGTATCCTACAAACTGACATTATAAGAAATGGTTTAGACCAAAAAAAAAAAAAAAAACTTTGATGCGATGCTATACCTTAGTAGATTGTGGAAAGTCGACAAGTCAAGCGTAACTGTGTACATTACAGAAAATCTTAACAAGACAACCAAAACATGTGGCCAAACCGTGACCAATACAACAAAGTTAACAATGTAAGAAACAGGAGGGGGCCAAACCGTGGCCAATAAATAAACAGTCCACCTCATTGATGAGATGGACAACACGTGTCAAATAAATATTTAAAAAATTGCTATTCCATCGGTCTGGAACTGGTCGACTATAAATAATTAAAAAGTTTAAATTCATGTGACAGTCGTCCAGCGACGTATAAATAATTTAAAAACACCAATTCATGAGGGGGCCCGACCAGCAGAGTATAAGTCATTAAAAAGGTTCAATTCATGTGACGGTCGTCCAGCGAAGTATAAATAATTTAAAAACCCCAATTCATGAGGGGCCCGACCTGCAGAGTATAAGTCATTAAAAATGTGCAAAACATGAGTCGGCCGACCAGCAGCCTCTCAATAGAATTATATATACAAATGTACGGATCAGGTTTGAAATCCAGACTAATCCACGCCTGATTCATTTTCACAAACGTGAGTCTCTCCACACTTTGGGTGGACAGTCGTGTCCTCCGCGGAGTTTACAATACCTCCTGCCGCACTACATACACGCGCTCTGATGCCACGCTACTGGCCGGGCATGACAGCCTTTCAAGGGCAAATTCAGCTAGTTGGGGCCAAAGGTCAAGTTTCGTTGCCCAGTAGTCAAGGGGATTGTCTACCTCGGTTGGCAGGGTGCTGTCCAAGTAGGCCCAAGCCCTGTTGTTTGAGGTCCTGCTCCAGGTCCACCTGATGCTGCTGCTGCTGCAGCTGGTTAGTAGTTTCCCTCACTGCGCTGGTGAAGAAAGCTACTCAACATCGACTGCAGACTGAGGCAGCCGCTGCTGGTGGAGCTGCCACTGCTCCTACCACCCCACCCCTCCCCTGCTGCCATGGCAGCGGAACGCGAGCGCACAGGGCCCACAGTGTCTGAGGATGGACGTTGGCGCAGAAAGGCAGAGACCAACTGACTACATAGGTGGTTTTTATAGTACTTTATTTTGGCCTCCCTCTCAGCAGGTGTGAAAAAGGCCACCATTTTTGAACGGTAGCGAGGGTCCAACAAGGTGGACAGCCAAAAGTCATCCCTCTGTCTGATGGTTATTATTCGGCTGTCGCTACGCAAGCAACCGAGCATGCTATGGGCCATTTGTGCCAAGGAATGCGAGGGACTCCCTGCCTCCATCTCCACAGCATACTGCCACGGTGCGTCTGGGTCCTCTGTCTCCTCCTCCTCCTCTACCAGATGCTCCTGCTCCTCCACTCCTGTCCGCTGAGTGGAAAAACCACCCATTTCACTCAATAATTCCTGAGCACCAATGTCCTCCTCTACCTCCTCCTCTTCTTCCTGTCCTGCCCCCACAGGGGTCATGTGGCGTTGAGATCTGTGCGCCACGTCTACCGCACCCTGACCAGCCATTGTTAACAGCATTTGTTCCAGGACGTGCAACAGAGGAATGACGTCGTTCATCCCATAGTCCTGCCGACTCACGAATAGCGTGACCTCCTCAAAGGGCCTGAGTAAGCGGCAGGTGTCACGCATGAGCTGCCAATGGCTGACATCTAAGTTACACAGGGGAGTACCTTTATCCGCTTGTAACATCAGGAGGAAATCGGTGATGGCCTTTCGCTGTTCGTAAAGGCGGGTCTAACATATGTAGGGTTGAATTCCACCTTGTTGCAACGTCGCAGATCAGGCGATGCTGTGGAATTCCGTTCTGCCGCTGCAGCTCAAGGAGGGTGTGCTTTGCGGTGTAGGAATGGCTGAAATGCATGCAAAGTTTACGTGACATTTTAAGGATGTCTTGCAGTGGGATGGTGGATTTTAGGAACCGCTTGACAACCAGATTGAACACGTGAGCCATGCATGGCGCATGGCACAACCTTCCTTGACGCAGAGCAGACACCATGTTCTTTCCGTTGTCGGTCAACATGGTTCCGATTTTCAGTTTGCGCGGAGACAGCCATCTGTCGATTTTTCTGTTCATTACACTCAGAAGTTTCCTCCCCTGTGTGACTACGTTCGCCAAGGCATACCAGGTGCAGCACAGCGTGACACCGTTGCGCCCTGCACATGTGATATGCCGGTCGGGTAATGGGACTTGGCACGGGGGTGGCGGAAGAAGAGGTGTGGTAGAGGCGGACATCTTTGCTGGACCAAGGACGTGCAAACATGGAGGCAAAAGCGGCGTGACCTGTCCAAGTTGCTGGTGCGGCTGTGACGGCACCACGTTCACCCAGTGGGCCGTAAATGACATGTACTGTCCCTGACCGTAGTTACAGCTCCACACGTCGGCGCTGCCGTGCACTTTGGCAGAGACCGACATGCTCAAAGACTGGCCCACCATCTCTTCTACATGTGAATGCAGGGCTGGCACTGCCTTTTTGGCGAAGAAATGCCGGCTTGGCACTCTCCACCGCGGCTCGGCACAAGCCATCATTTCTTGGAAAGGTGCTGAGTCCACCACTTGGAAAGGGAGGGACTGCAGCACCAGCAACTTGGACAGGAGGACGTTCAGCTTCTGCACCGTCGGGTGCGTGCTCGCAAACTGTTGTCTCTTGGAAACGGATTCCAAGAAAGACTGCTGACGGAATCCGTGAAGAGGAGTAGCAGGAGAAGGAGCATCTGAACGAGCGGAAGATGCCAACGAGCGACAACTCCCCTCAGCAGAGGTGTTGGAGCCTTGACTGGCTGATAGAGGGCGATTGACGTCAGGTGACGGAGCAAGTAACGGAGCGGGTGATGGAGCGGGGGCTGGGGCAGGCAGAACCGCCGTATCTTTATCACGGTTTTCCCAGGCCACCAAATGGCGACGCTGCATATGCTGACGCAACGCTGTAGTCCCAACATTGGCCCCCTGGCCACGCTTGACTTTCTGGCCACATAGTCGACATACGGCTACGTTTACTTCCTCGGGCGGCTTGACGAAAAATTGCCACACCGCCGAGTAGGAAACTTTGCCCCCGCTACTCCTCACTGGCTGACTGCTACTTCCTCCGTGCACACC